TTACAAACAGAAATTGTAACATGTGTTGTGTCAAGATCCGCATAATTCAGTGAATGAGTAAATTGCTTCTGTGTTTGTAAAAAAATATTTTTTTTAAATAAAAGTTGGCTGACAATTTATTCACTCACGTTGACACGAGAGATGGGACAATACTAAGGTTTCTGTATACGTGTATTTTCTCCTGGAACCTCTTGTTTGGAGAGGAGTTCATTTTAAATTTGTTTTCAAAAGTTGGATAAAACCTACTCATTGTATCACCGCTTTATTGTCAGTATGGAACAACATCCATAATGAAGTGTTGAGCGTTATGTCTTTTTTTTCCTTCCGCTTTGGTCAAAAAGTAAAAACAGGTTTAAATATACATTACATTTTTTTTACAAGACTACAAGTTTTTATATTTTCGAGGTGGCTACTGCGGTTGTTCGCGTCTTCATCTAACACGGAGAGCCACGCCCTTTAACATTAGACCCGCTCACGAACCTTTAAATGTAACATTTTAACAGTGATAATAATATTTGTTTACGTAAAATCTGTTATGGGTATATACCTGTAATACACCTTTACTGATTTTCTCCGAAAAGAAACCAATTAGAACAAGAGGAAATTTCAACAAAATAGCGTTTACCCAATGCCCAAGTTTGATACCATGGACCGCGATATACTTATTAAATGTTGAAATTTGAATGATGATAGAATTATAATAACGTAAATATACCTTACGATCGTTTATTTCTGCATGCAGGAAGTACAACGAAGGAACTAATATTTATATTAGTATTAGTAAAAGTAATATTAATTTTAACAACGACATTTAGTGTATTATTTACCATTACGATTGTAAAATTCTAAAGAACCAGTAATACGTACTGTATTTCAGCTTCGGGATCAATGACCCCCATCTCGATCAGGTTTTCATTTAGTTTCCCTGATCCTTGAGCAAATGCTGAGATGGACCCTTGTTTTGCTTCTGGACATAAATGTAACTTGAAATTAACTTCTCCCCACATCACGTCACACACAGTTTTTAACTGTTTTTCACGTAAATAAATAAATAAAACTATTATAGGTGAATTCCAAAATAATTATTAGAACCTATACTATGACCCACAAATATATGACCGGCATAGAACGTGAAGAATAAAATAACTGTAATAAGCCACTACAACCCACATAAATTTAGTGTCTGAAATTCAAACCACATGTTTCAGTTAAGCATGATTGAACAAAAGCGCTTATGTCACACATCCGATTAAGAAGTCATAGCCCCCCTATTTACGGCCGTTATTTGTCAACGCACACACAGTTTTTAACTAAAACAATAAATAAATTAAACTATTGGAGGTAAATTCCAAAATAATTATTAGAACCTATTCTATGACCCACAAATATAGGACCGGCATAGAACATAAGGAAGAAAATAATTGTAATAAGCCACTAACAGAATTTAGTGTCTGAAATTCTTCCATCAAACCAGATGTCGTTTCTGTTCAGCATGATTGAAAAAAAGCGCGTACGTCACACATCCGATTAAGAACTCATAAACCCCCCTATTTACGGCCGTCATTTGTCACTGCACTTGGCTCGTGCCTCGGCTCGAAAGGTCACTGAAACGCGACGGCCACTCGACACAAAAGCCACTCGCGCGCGCAGAGTTGGGTCGTGTTTCAGTGGCCCAATAGGAATTGGTCCGCGGCGCGCGCGCTTCCGCCATTATTCGGCTCGGCTCCGGCGCACAAAAAGAGCAGCGCAACGCACTGCGCCGTGTCGCCGCGCGTCGCACAGTGGGCCGCAACGCGCTCACCGGAGGTAGCAATACAAGCCTGGTGGGGCATGGAAGGGCAGGATTCCAGGCTTTTGGAATTTTTTTATTGCAGTAATTTTTTTTAAATTTAAAATGAACATGTTCACTACTTTCAAAAATTTGTATTATTATTATTATTATTATTATTATTATTATTATTATTATTATTCAATTAAAGTGTTGTTTTGTGAAGAAGAGTGAAATGTTGGTGTAAGAAAGTCGTAAGATTTCCGTGAAGTGCAGAGGATGGGTGCTGTGAATGCAGACGAAATGAAATTGTGCATAAGTTTGTAAAGTATTTTATTGCTGCCGAATGTACGTAAGCTTAATTAATGCAAAGTGAAGATTTTCTGCCACCGTACAAAAACTCTTAATTGCAGTATTAATAATAAATCTTTTAAATATATCTATTAACACTGTGGTAATGCCGAAGCTTCTGATCCGCTGTTATTTATTGTAATGTATAATGTTTCTATCTACTTGACAGCTGGGGATGGGGTAGTGCAATATTGCAATATGTTCAATTATGCAATCTTGCATCAGTAGCAAGAAACACATAAAAATAAGAGCACATTACAATAGAAGACACAGAACCGCAAACATGATACATAACCAAAGTAGTAATGGCGCTCTTCAATATTCATTGCTTTGTTATATAAGATTTCTTTTTTTCTTAGTAAGTATAGGCAACTCTGCAGTGACGTCATCAGAATTTCAAGCCTCTGGTTGGATATCGGAACCCCCTCTACCCTGTCAGCCGTTAGCTGTCAAGTAGACAAATTTTATTCCAACAATAGGTTACGGCCGTGGCATTATCACGTGACGACGAACAGTCAGCCACCTAATTATCTTCTCTGTTGATTGTCCGTTATAAATACAGAGACTTGTGACAGATCATCAGCTGTGAAGCGGTTATACAATCGGAAGCTTCAATACCAAAAATTACAGAGGTAACAAAGCCCCCAATTCGATAACAACGGCCAGTTTATGATCAGTCACAAGACACTATATTTAAATCGAACAATAGCCCACTGCGCGCCGTGCCGCCCTGCGCGGCCCTTGTCCCGGAGCGACCCTTGTGCCGAAGCCTTGCGCGTCCAATCACGCGCTTGTGGCGCTTCTCTGCGGCCAGTGGAGCAATCACACGGCGCAGCCGTCGCTGCCTGTTGCGCCACCCAGCCGCCCCGCCGCCCACGTCATTTGCTGCTATTTGCCCGAACAGCGTCCTTTGTTGTTTATTGACAAAGGTCTCTTCATTCGCTCGGTCGATTTTAATTTCTACATGGCTCTGCTATCTACCTTAACCAATTGAGAACCAACTAACGTTGGCGAACGTGGATGGAATATTTCCACTCGCTATTCGCACGTGCAATTTTAATATTAATTGATAATGTATTTCTCACCTAATGCGTTAAGAATTCACAAATTAAAGGGAAGCTCTAAGTTACCATGCTTACTTGTATTTCCCAAACCAGACGCGGATCTACGGGGAAGTAAATGAGGTAAATTCACACACACACCTAATATTTTTCAGTATCTATTAATTTTAACTTGTCCCGATACTTTCAAACAAAATTATAATCATTAAAAAGAATAAAATTGTATTGCAGCACGGGCTAGTGTAGCCTACGACATATAACAAAATCAGTAATATGGCACCTTCGACCAAAACATTTTGAGTTTCCCCTCCCAAAATTCGTGCCTGGATCCAGCCCAAGTGTTCAATTTTTATAAAACGACAACATAGTAATACACTGATACTTCTTCTTTATTTCACGGGGTAGGCGATGCCTATCCCGACTTCACAAAAAGAGTTTTTACCACCTTTTTGAAGGTCTTCCAATATCTCTCTTTCCTCTAGGTTTGTGATTCGAAATATTTTGAAAATGTGTCCTCCTGCATTCTTTGGATATGTCCTTTCCACTTTCTCCAGTAATTAGACACTCTTTTCTCCGATGTTGTGCACGTTCATATGTGTTCTTATGTTTCTTCATTTCTTATTTGGTCTTTTAGGGACAATATTAAACTCTTTTGAAGAACATATTTCTGCTGTTGGTAGTTGACTTCTTTCTGTGTGGGGGTCCAACTGTCGCTTCCATATATATTAGGGCTGGTGTCTCAATTACTTTATACAACAAAAAATAATTTGTGTTTGTATTTAGCCATTGCATGTTCTGTAAATGGCAATTAGCCTTGACACCATCAGATCCCGAGATTCCTAGACAGTCACCTAACCAGGAACAAGCGATGTCTCGAATTCCTTCTCGTTAACCTTCATGACTTCGCGCAGTTATCGAATTCGGCTAGCGTCGCCGGTGTCGCGGTCGTGGCCTTTCAGTAGAAAAATCCCAACATTCTTCTGAATGACCCAAAGAAACCACGAAAACCCCTGAGAGGAAGGTCAGCACGGAGATTGAACCCGGGTCTCCCGAATGCGAAATCAGCACACAATGCCATGAGCCACTTTGCTTGGTTCAAGAATGGTGATAATATCATAGGTAATATATATGCTATATATTATATATAATATATAATCATTATACTATATATATTTATATATAGTGATGATGTGTGTGTGTGTTGTGTGCTGTGGCTTTTGTTGGTGTGTGATGTGGTGGTGTGAGTAGTCTACATCTGTTGATGTGTCAGTTCCTCCTTTTCCAGCGCTTCTCTACCACAGCCACATCTTCCCCTCTGTCAAATTTCTTGTTGCCATCTGCAGTCAGTATTCCTTGTTCCATGGTTGAGTCTTCCCCGGGACTTCCTCCATTCTGCCATTCTCAGCAAATGCAGATGGTCGTACCACTCTGAAGTGTTTTTCGTTTACAGTATCTATTTAAGACTATCAGACTACTTATACTTATATAGCGGAACTTTCGGTAGGCGTAAAGTTGCAGATATCGTTCGTTACACCCCGGTACGCAATTGAAAACAATAGATAAGAGAAAATGAAAAGTCAAAAGATAATAACAATACCCTACTAGCATTTCATATTGAAATATATATATATATTATATATATATATTATATATATATATATTATATATATATATATCCATAATAGAAGTATTCCATGGAAATAGGTATGACGTAATGGATGTGTGTCAATGGTTTTGACTACGTTGAGTAAAATTAGTAAAACTGAGCTTGCAGCGGAGCGCCAGGTTCGCGCCTGACGCGTGTGTGGTGCGTGCCGCAGTGCGTGGCGCGGCCGGGCGCCGGGTGGGTGCGTGGCGGCTACCAGTGCGTGTGCCGCCCGGGCTTCTTCTCACCGCAGCACAAGCCCTTCAACGGATCCCTCGTCGAAGGTAGGTACCTGCTCTCCTTGGCTGGACACTCAATGAAGGCTACGTGTTGCTTTTAAGACTAAGACGTCCTTTAAGGTTAGTCTCTGGTCTCATGTCTACGTTCTGGGTGGGAAATTCAAATGGGTAGCACTTGGCTTGGAGTTGCAACCGTGAATTTTGATAAGGAAACTCAAGAGAATGCCTACTGTTTTTCGTAAATAGAAAGCTTTCGTTATGTAGAAAGATATTGTATCTTCCATCAACGACTATATAAATCTTATGATCCATAAATTCTTCTCATCCCTTCCCCAATTGCGAGTAACCAGTTCCCAATGGTGCATGGAGACACGATGGGGACCACATGTCTCGCCGCAGGTAGCCGTACGATCTAACAATGCCTCCCTCACAACGCGTCGATCTCGACGTTTGTCAGTGCTCCGCAGTCACCCCGAAGTGGGTCTACGGCTATGGGAATGCTCGTGTATCCAGCACCGTCAACGCCTCACGGCTCACGTGGTCAGAAATGCGCCGAAAGGACCATATGACCAAAGACGAACGAGGTCGAAGACGAGATATACCCGACTAGACCTTATCGCAGTGGACATCCCCTTTTAACGCCGCAGAGTAGATAGTGTGCCTGGGCCATTTCGTCCCGCTTTCATTACGTCATTGGGCGTTAGTCATCCGTGAAATGTTAATCACGGCTTCTACTATCCCTCATCCTTATACTTTTTATCCGCCAGTGTACTTAAAACGTCTCTATATCGTAGACATTTATTGAGTTGATACGATACAACGCAAGTTTTCTATAACACAAGAAAGTTCTCATTCCCTTGCGTTCCCTTATCAAAATGTACGGTCGTGATTCGAAGGAAAGAGCTATAAATTTGAATTTCCCACACAAAACGTAGCCGTATTTAAGTAAGTGGTCTTAAACGAAATTCGCAACACGCAGCCTCCATTGAATTTTCAGTATTGTGAGGATGATTCTTTTTTAACTTTTTATAAATATTTTTGTAAACACACATAGTAACGTAAAAAGAATATATAATTTTTTGCCTTTAAGCTGTTTCATAAAGTTTATACTGAATTAGATAACACGACATCTATTTCATCAATTATTAAATGCAATTAGTTGCAACGTGCTTGCGGTATTAGCCTAATCAAGCGGTAGGCGTAATGCCGAACAAACATTCATTCTAACAAAAAAAATGACTCAATAATATATAGATGTGATTTTTATTTCGTTCTTGATGTGTACTTTACTAACACCTCAAGCTATCAAGTCCTCATAAAACTGTTCTGTATTTCGATAAAGTTAGTTATATAAAGTTAGTTAATAGTTCCTTCCTCGTCTGGTCGTTTTTATCTTATTAGTTTAATTATAAAAATTAAAAACAATTCACTACAAGCACACGCGTGAAAATCATGTCTACTTGAATTATTAAAAAACATAAATAAACTTATTTCTATAGTCGCTTAGTATAATCATTACTTTTCCTAATGAATGATGCGTTTATATGAATTCTTCCCTTAAAATACTTCTCTTAAAAAATGTATCTGTGAACCATCCTACATTTTAGTAATTCTGTTTTAACTGTATATGTAAAAGGGGCCATTAATGGAATGTTATATTCAAAACAATAGACAGCGCATCTGTTAAAATACTAAAAATAAATATTTATATGAGGGAGAAAGTAATGAATGTTGCGAAACATTTCGAACTAGCCCAACCCGTCGTGTATAGCTAAGTGCCCGCGCTTCCCGTTGGGATCAATGTAGCTTATTTACATTTCAATTATAAGTAGATCAACATGTCAATTCCCACTGTGCTCTTGCCACGTGCAATATTTTATAGGAATGTAATCAATTGTCAATGGAAAATAATTGGACGATAATGTGCGGGTAGTGGGGCGTGAACGCTGACTAGTGAAAAGAGAGATACTCTCATTAGTGAGATGGGAGTTGCCCTTAAACTTGGCAGTGGGGCGACGGCCACAAAGACGTTTTCGACGTTTGACGAGGATATCTTTTATAATTGCAACATTCACGGGTACAACTCATGAGAAATGAGGCCAGTGACGACAAATGTAAATAAAATGTACTATGCTATAGAATAGTTCTACGCTATAGCTACAGCTTACTCTGGGACTCAGCTTTTTAAGTAGGTACTTCATGTACACACATGCTGCGACCTTCCGCAAGGTGAACACAAAGGCGAAATGGCGGAGGAAGATTGCAGCTTGACAGCCGAAATGTCAGCATCTTACCTAGTGTCTCCCGGAGAGCCAAATAGAAACTGACACAGCCCGCGGAAATACTTGAAACGTTTGGAAGAAGTGTGAGCGAGTATTATTCGGTTTAGGTTGCAGACGCTGAGGACAGCAATGATGAGGGTTGGCAACAGTACTTTAGAGGAATACAATTCGGAATTTCAGAGGTTCGCCTTTGAAAGGAAACGATAATTCATTTACCCGAAATGTTTTGACTTAACCTTGATCACATGAACTGAAAAGAATTATGTTTATCCACCATAATTCAAATTTTCGAGGTCCTAAGGTAAATAAAAATTCAAGCATGCAAATTCAATGGAGCCGGATGTCGGGTTTAAAACTCCGCTTTGACTGCAGGCAGGGTTGTTATTAAAAATATTTGCAATCTAAAGAGCTACTATAAAATAAATTAATTAATTAAATAAGCACTTTATATAATGCGGCCGCGTTCGAATATTGACTGATAATACTGCAAACTCAGTTAATGTCGTTGCAGGGAATATTACAAAACGTATGTTCATCCTACAGTCAAGGTACTTTTAGTCGATTATCGCGTACGTTTGGCGTTCAACTTGGTTCCCAAAGCACCAGAACTGACGTGTGGTATGAAATATTTTTTTAAATTATTAAATAAAAATACATTATTTTACAAATAGAATACGGGATGACAATTCGGAACATTGGAGGAGTGTTGTCCTAAATGATGCAATTTTAACTATAGTATATAGAAACGGTTTAAATTTAAAGTGTTAGATGCTCTGAGCAGGTATCAAACTCCCTACCTTACGTCCTGTTGCTCTGACCGTAAGCTAATGAGGCACGTAATACTTAGAGATATATAATCTATATTTGATCTACTTAAGAGTTAATACCCTGGGCTAGATTTATAAAATGCAATACAATAATACAATATACAATGCCAGTAAATGATACACAAAATAGAGACAATACAGTTAACGGTGCGCAATACAGTCACATATTAATTTTAATTTATACAAATAAGCATGGCACTTTCAGCAGTTTATGAGTCTTTATGCCATTGATATTTGTTCTGTAGCTATCTACACTGTTGGAGATACAAGATTTGCAATGCCACCCCTCAGAATGACAAGGTTCAATTTAACATTTCAGTCGTTTCGGGTAAATTAATTTTAGAGCTTCATCTTTCCGCCTATTCAGACATTTCTCCCCCTACAGTAGTGATTATTACAGTATCTTTTCATGCAGAGATTGCAGAATGAGTGTGTTTTACTCGTATTTGTACCACAAGCCTTAACTACTGCACTTAATGTGCTCGTCTAACTCAAAATGGCGTTTTTTGTAAAATGTTGCAATTTTTGTTTTTCATTGTTTCTTGATCATTGAGATGAATACTTTCCAATGCTTAAAACTGTTTGTTTCTAAGTTTGGTATTTTTTATGTATTGGTACTTTTCCGAATGCGTGTGCATACGCCATGTCCGACGACTATTTGCAGTTCGGTTAGCCATGATCGCTAAAATTGAGAGGAACAACGTAAATTTGATCTTAAGAAATTTTAAAAATGCCATTTTATACTAATGTAAAGTCCTTATTATGTCACATTAAAGGTAGAATACCCATTTTGGACATTCTTTCGTGCAGTTAGGGGTTTTGTGTTCACAGCTGTTTAGCGCTAATGAATCTTATTCTGGCTTTTTCTTAAAGTTACTTTTTCTCTTGTTTGACCAAACATGAAACATCATAACTCTTCTAATTTTTAAGATAACTTTATGATTCTTTTTTATTTAATATCATAAAATCAATTTTTGTCCCTTAACCTCAAATAATTATCACAGAAAATGCATTTTATCAATATTGTTCCCAATGGTTTATAAAAGTTCTCATTCAAATCCCTGTAAAGTACATACAATTCCCTTATCAATCTTCAAATTTAGATTCAGGCACTAAAGAATATTTCAATTAACAATCTTGAAAAAGAATCATAAAAAATGTTAAACAGTTCATGGGTAATGTCATAAATCATATCCGGTTTTTGAAAGGAAGAAGTGCATAACATATGAAATAATATGTTTTAAGTATTTTTGTTTTTCTTAATACCTAATCCTACGAGTAAGCATGTTTAAATTCCGATATACGCCACAAAAAAACTAGTGGTGCTTAAATACAAGTACTTTCTCGCCCGTATTTTCACGCAAAAAAACGAGAATAATACTCAGATTTTCGAAAAAAAATGAATATGACCTTATTTCAAAATTATTTCTAAGAAACAGATTTCGTTAAGGAAAAAATATATCTTTAATATTTTAGTTGTAGGAAGACACCGAAAAATTTTGAACTTTTGCAATTTTCGAAAAATCAGTTTTCAACGAACATGAGATATGCAGCATTCTCTTAAACGTCCTTCACATTATCCAACAACAAAAGGTAATCCAAAAAGACGGAGCTACTTTTTTTGAAAATGTCCCAGGATCTTCATGCTTCCCAAAATTAAAATAGCTTTTTCAAATTAAAGGGGCCGTAACATTAGCCAGATGAATTGGATAATATCAATTTCAGAGATTGGCTGAACTGTTTAGCCGCGAGCGTGACGGACAGACAGACCGTAATCCAGTATTTCGGTGTCTAGGACCCACAAAACATATATTCTGGCTATATCACGTATTAGAAGATTGTTTTACTAAATTTAGTAACTGGATTTATCCACTCTTTTGTTACCTAGGCCCTGTAATGAGAGTTTTTCTGCCCACAATTTGCCGGGTTTTTTCGTCCAGCATTACATAACTTTCTCTCTACTCCGTAGAAAGAAAGTAATATTAAAACTCAGGCAGGCTATTACCTTAACACGAACGATGCGTTTTCCTTGGTTTCTTCGATCAACACCAGGCGAATGCCAGAGCAGTATCCTACCAATCGGGCCACGAGCCGCGCGCGATCTTTTTTATCTCTTCCTTGTTCTATCCTCTCCCTTTACACACTTACACTAACACGCATTACACACGCACATATGCCGGGAGACCGGTCGGGAGCTTAGAGCTTATCTCGCCTGGAGCGGTGCCCCGATGATAGGAGATTCCTGATTGGGGAAAACCCCGCTAGCCGACGTTAGGTCGGCACCAGATCTCGCCATACAGGTAGGGAAATATTGTAACCCCCTCCCGAGAAAACAACGTGCACTACACTTATGGGACTGGTGACCCTGGTAGTTGACGTGAGCGAAATCACTAAAACAATCGATCGATCTGATCAATCGATGAGTCAAACGATCGATCTGATCAATTGATGAGTAAACCATCGATCTAATCGATGAATGAGTCAAACGATCGATCTGATCAATCGATGGGTCAGCCGATGGATCTGATCAATCGATGAGTCAAACGATCGATCCGATCAATCAATGAGTCAAACGATCGATGTGGTCAATCGATGGGTCAACCGATGGATCTGATCAATCGATGAGTCAAACGATCGATCCGATCAATCAATGAGTCAAACGATCGATCTGATCAATTGATGGGTCAACCGATGGATCTGATCAATCGATGAGTCAAACGATGGATCCGATCAATCGCTGAGCCAAGCGCTCGATGCGGGCGAGTGCAAGGCGCGGCGCGGCGTGCGCAGCGGCGTGGCTGGAGGAGCGGCGCAACGCGAGCGCGGCGTGGAGCGCCGTGTTCCGGTGCGCGCGCTGCGCCCCGGGCTGCGAGGCGTGCGTGGACGCGCGGCCGTGCCTCGCGCCCTACAACTGGGCCTTCCGCGTCGCGCTGCTCGCCGTCTCGTGCCTGTGCGCGCTCACCACGCTGCTGCTCTCCGCCTACGTGTACCGCCACCGCAGGCTCAAGGTCTTCAAGGTGGCCTCGCCCATCTTCCTCGGCATCACGCTGCTCGGCTGCGCCATCATGTACCTCGAGGTGAGTTGGAGGGGGGCGGGCGGGGGCGTGAGCACGGCCAACTGCAACGGACGCCGCTCTGATTTTCCATCCAACTCCAGAAAACAGTGTACACTTGTGCTCGAAATAGGGAGAGTTTGCACTTCGAAGAGTTACAGCAATCGACAGCGACAATATCGATCTGATCAATCGATGAGTCAAGCGATCGATCTGATCAGTCGGTAAGTCAAACGCATTTTGAGTTTAACATCACTTTGCAGCATCTGCTCATGTGCAAAAGATCGATATTGAAGTCGATTGGTGCACGCTATGCTGTACGAAGTGTCCTTATGGTTGCTTCATTTGAAAATATGGTTGCCGGGTGTTCACTAGTAAACAAACGAGAATTGAATAATGTTTATGGAACTTATTTATTTCATACACGCCTCCTTTATTAAAAAAATAATTCTATGCATATTAGTTTTTCTCAAGGAGAAGAAATGTGTTTGAAAGAACAATTCCTTCTCCCTTCTTTTCGTCTTCTGTTACTCTTATTAAATTAATATGTCACTTAACGCGAATAGCAATGATGTGCAGTTAGTCCAGCCTCTACGTTGTCTGCCCCCTCTAGTAAAACCTCCTAGTATATTTCAGGATCAGTTCTTTAATTTGTTTTATTATATTTTACTTTGCTTTGTCAGTTAAATCTTAATTATAAATTAATAAACACGACTACTCTCAAATTAAATGTTTTCAAACATCGATGTGTTGCTACTGAGCCCAGCGCCGTCCCGCGGAGAGAGAAGCGAGGAATAAGATGTCTCCTTGTCCTCACGTATGCACCATTCACTAGAATAACTTAGTTAGGCAATTTCTGATGAGATTCAAACTAAATTCTAGAACGTTAATTTGATCTTTACACAAGAGGCCCAGTAGAAAACGTTTCGGGGCTATGCACTTCCACTTTCCCTCTCTTCTTACAGTCATGGTTGGTTTCAAAAGTTGTCAATTATCGACTTCTTATTCTTGTTCTACTGATTCATAAAATACGATAGCTAAAGTTGTTCTAAAACCTCTAACCATTCAGAAAACACTTTCACAATCACATGTTTTATTTAGTGAAGTATAGTCTGCAGAGAGGTTTTTTCTAGGATTCCAATTTAAGTATTGTATGACCCTAGCTGACAATAGAGACGTCTGAAAGTTTTTTTATTTAAAAATATATAAATTATATTACCTGAAAATTATTCAAAGTAACAAAATAAAAATATTAATGCGGGAACAGTAGATAAAAGATTCGTTTATAAACTCAGCAGTTCGGAAACAATAACAAATAATTTATGAATTTATTACATTCTCTTGCAAAACTTTACCTCAAAGGAATAAATGTATCCGAGACCTTCAAAAACGTAAAAAATATAAACTTGTAACATTCCAAAGTCTATAGAAACCCACCACGACAAACAATAGAATTTAAGTGAATCTCCGTGATATTGAATAATTACTGTTCGTGAAGCTCTTGCAAATTCAATTTTGCCAAACAATCTCTGCCCATTCAAATTACAAACGCTCCTCAAGAAACAGATCGTTTTGTAAAGTCCTTCTCACGTTCTGTCATGACACTCAGCAATCCCTCCTCTGAAGTGATCTCAGCCCAAGCAATGTACGAAAGAAGAGTTTACAGAAGTTCATAGGTCAAAAGCTAAAGAAGCAAGGACAGGCGTGCAAGTTCCAAAGGAGTTACTCACGCGATACTCTCATCCTTTTGTATCTCTTTGGCGCTTCAGTGGCTTTAAAGCGAAATATCAGGGTGTAGGTTTTAAAATACTCCGCAGAAACCTCCTTTAATTATGTGTTTTATGTACAGAAAAAGTAACCATCCTCTATCTTCGTTGGAGTAAGCTTCCTTTAGCGAGCAGAGCAATTTCTCGCGACAACCCACATCTAAAACGTATTGCATTGTTCGTGGAATCTTCAAAAGAAATCTTACGTCTGCACCACCATTGTAACTTCCCAAAAAAGGAATGCTTTACGTTTGGTTTATACATATGTAAAAAACATGGTACGAAATCTTTCTTGAAAATGATTTTAATACATGTTATTATGATTTGTGTGATGAAATTGCGACCAAACTTTCGTAAACAAAAGGTGACTAAAAATGTTCCTTTAGCCTATCTCGTAATTTATTGGATAATTCATTCGATTTTCTAATATCCTTTTTCATTATTGCAATTTAATCTTCATTAGTTTCATGTTCTTGCGTTTAATGTTTGTCTCTTAAATAAGGTTTCAATTCATTTTTCGTAATCAACCAGGGTATATTTCTGTCCTCTTTTCATTCACATGTTCTCCTCTGTTGTTGTTCTGATCATCTCTTCCTTTCCCTCACAAACCCGCATGAGCATTTCTCATCGCTTCTTATTACTTTGCTCTCAAATGTTTTCCCCTCTGATATATTATGTACCCTGTCCTCATGCTTGCCTTTTCGCCTTTCAGATGGCGGCCATCTTCCCGGTGCTGGACACGTACTCTTGCATCGCCACTAAGTGGTCTCGCCACTTAGGCTTCTGCGTCACGTATACTGCGCTGCTCATGAAAACCTGGCGCGTTTCGCTCACCTACCGCGTCAAGTCAGCCCACAAGGTAAGAAGGGAAATGCTGTCCCCTGTGAAAGCGCAGCTTCTGCTTGTACAGAAACAAAGGTAGGCGTGGCGCATGAATGCGTAAGCTTCCGTGTCTGGAGTCAGTATCTACTTGGCTGTCCAGGAGACGCCACTGTCTAGGCGTAAGTGCCAAGGTTCTGCCGTCATGACCTTCTTCAGGGCAAAATGCATTTCCATGCAAGTAGATATAGGCATACCATAGTTTGGGCTGCCCCTCTTAACCAATACCAAGCATAATGTTGTCCGCCTGCTTATGTCGCCCGCAAAAACATCCCTGGGCGGACATAGCTTATAACGTTCACAGGAACGTCTTTTGTGGTAAAAATGTGGAATCATAGTGGTAGAAGCACCTTAGGTCACTAGGCGCATACCAAGGGAAATGGATCGATCCCCTGTCGATGTAACTTATGATTTAATTTATTAGTTCATGTTCTCTTTCACGAATGCACTTAGACATTTGAATTGAAACATAACTCCACATGCCCATTCGTTTCATTCTTATCCTCGGTAAGTTTCATTCTTATCCTCGAGTTATAGCTTAACATAGCTTGTGCTTCCCAGCGGTTTTTGAAGTGTACCGTCCTTTCATTTTAGATTGTTACCTTTTTTAAAAGATACATGAGCCACTTCCATATTACGTAGCACATGAATGAGAGAGGGGGTGTTTTGTCAATGCAGCGTTGCAAAAAGATAGGACACGTCAGTTTTTAGGCGATGCTGCTTAAAATATCTCGCCCTAGGCGTCCACCCCCCGCTCCCACCTCATTTTCGCCACGCTATGCGCCTACTGCCTCATTTTCGTCACGACTCCGCTCGCACAGAAAGTAATATAATACACCCATCTACACCCAATCACTCTCCGACGAATGTTAATTTAATGTTCGAGATCGTTACACTGATAAATACATACGCTCAATAAGTGCTACTCTGGTACTCACTTAATGTACTAAGTATTCACAAAACCTTACTGTAATATTTATTATATATAATAAAATATTTATTATAAAATATATAATAATATATAATAAAATATATGGCATATATACGGCTCTCATTGTTGACATTGATGATGTTTATCAAATATGAAAACATTCTTGAAGACCTCATGCGAATTTTCGGCAGATAAACTCTTATTACAGACCTCTGGTAAGGAAAAAGGGGATAAATCTAATTTGCTAAATTTAGAAAAAGAGAATTCTTTAACACATAGTGTAGCTAGAATCCATATTTTGTGGGTACTTGACCTCCAAAAAATCGAATGAGGGTGAAACGTCTCTTCGTCCATCCGTCCGCCCGTCCGTCAGTGAAAAACGCTAACGGCTAAACCATTCACTTTCCATAAAGCACCTGAGACATTTTCAAAATTTTCAAAAAAAATCTCTACAGTTTTTTATTAAATTTTGTTATTGGATAGAGTGAAGAACGTTCAAGACAATGGTACAGGTCTCATTTGTGTTGAAAAAACTGATTTTCCGAAAATTGCCAAAATTTAACATTTGTTCGGCTTCTTCCTACAACTAAAATATTAATGATAGAGGATTTTTCCTTTAATGAAATCTCTTCCTTACAATATATTGGTAATATTAATATTGAAGTAAGGTCATGTACAATTTTTCAAAAATTTGAGTATTTTTGCGTGAAAGTGCGGGCGCGAACGTACTACGCGCTGTTTCAGCACCGCTAGTCGCTTTGGTTGACCGCGCGTTGCGCGCGCACGTCGTGCGCAGGTGAAGCTGACGGACAAGCAGCTGCTGCAGTGGATGTTCCCCATCCTGCTGGTGATGCTCATCTACCTGGGCACGTGGACGCTGAGCGCGCCGCCGGCCGCCGAGCAGATCACGGACGCGCGCGGCCTGCGCTTCCGCCAGTGCACGTACAACTGGTGGGACCACGCGCTCGCCATCGGCGAGGTGCTCTTCCTCGCGTGGGGCATCCGTGTCTGCTACAATGTGCGCCACGCCGAGTCGCTCTTCAACGAGGCGCGCCTCATCACGTACGCCATCTACAACATCGCGCTCGTCAACACCGCCATGGTGGCCTTCCAGTGAGTGCCTCCCTTCATTCGTTGATTAGTTTGTGGCCTTGCAGTGAGTGCGTCAGTTGAGTGATTATTTCGTGGCCTTCCAGTGAGTTCCTCGGTTGATTTATTATTTCGTTGCCTTCCAGTGAGTGACTCTGTTGATTAATTCTTTCGTAGCCTTCCAGCTTCCGTTGATTGATTAGTTTGTGGCCTTCCAGTGAGTGTCTCAGTTGTTTGATTATTTTGTCACAATCAAGTAACTGACTCCGTTGATTCATTGATTGTTTATTTCGTGACTTTCCAATGAGTAACTCAGTTGCCTGACGGATTATTCTATGGCCCTCCAGTGAGGACTTCGGTGATTGCTTATTTCTTAACCTTCCAGTAAGTGCCTCAGTTGACTGAATATTTCGTGGCCTTCCAGTGAGTGACTCAGTTGATTCATTGATCGTTTATTTTGTGGCTTTCTGGTGAGCACTTCTGTTGGTTGATTGATTATTCTGTGGCCTCCCAGTGAGCGTCTCGGTTGATTTATTGAATGATTGAGTACTCCGTGGCCTGAAAGTGAGGGCCTTCTAGTGTCTCAGTTGATTCACTGACTGATTGTTCATTTCGTATTTCCGGACTGTCAATTGCATTGGTCATTAACACCATAAGCCTATATCATGCTTTTATCGCGGGAGATGGCAGTGATCTTCCCCTGTTGGATGATGAGATCCACTGCCGACCTAAACGTCGGCTAGCGGGGATTTCCGCAACTAGATATCTCCCCCTGCGGGCCGTCGTCCCAGCCGGGAAAAGCTCTAAGACCCCGACTGCTCTCCCAGCGTGTGTGGTAGTGTAATGCATATGAGTGTAAGTCTGTGTAAGTAAGGGATAGGAGAAGGAAGAGGAAAGAAAGATAGCGAGCGGTCCGTGACCCAATTGTTAGAGTAATCCTCTAGGTTTCGCCTGGTGTTTTCAGTGAATCCCTCGACCACTCCCTGCCCTTCACGCGTGATGGTTGATTTTATTTACAGGTGTCATGAAACAATGTGGTGTTTGGTGGAGGCAACCACGTAACTATCATATGATTCCTTGAAAGCGTTTTGCACAGCTGTTTCTTTCTAATATTACCATAAATGGGAGCAGTTCCCAATTGAGCCAGTAGAGTTGGCTACTAACACCAAATTTCTATAATGCCGTATTGTCTTGATTTGCGTCTTGGTCTTCGACTAGACCTATCCAGAAACATGTTGCATCACAGAAATATACAGTTTACAGCTCACACGTCCTCCAAGTCAGCAACAAACTCCATTCATAGTGATCAAGTGACTTGTATATTGTTAGTTTTTTAATGATATGAGATTGAACGAATTAATTCTTGTAATACATTCTCTCACAATGAAGGCAATGTGTAGTTAGCTCAATAAGTTACTTTAATTAACTTACGTTAAATACGTTTTTACGTAATACTAACAAATAAGTTGAATTTGGTTGGGTCTCAAACTCTATTGGTTCATAGGTTCAATATGACAGCGTCATATTTGCGAGCTTTACTGTGTTATACACACACACATTATATATATATATATATGTGTGTGTGTGTGTGTGTGTGTGTGTGTGTTTTAAACATTATTTTTAATTGAATATTTTTAAAGGTGAGTGAAACGTCATCGCTACTTGTAACCAACGGTGTCTTGATTTTTTCCCATTTTTTCTGACCATTTGCTTTCTTTGGTGATCTATACTCAGAGAAACCCTTCTAAAAGCACTTCCTCCTGTGCTGCAGCTTGTTCATCCTGCCGCACGCGGGACCCGACATCAAGTACCTGCTGGGCTTCATTCGCACGCAGCTGTCCACGTCCGTGACCGTGGCGCTGGTGTTCGGGCCCAAGGTGAGCACCGGCTGCCGATACGGCTTCTTTAGTTCGTAGAAGTCACGCTCTCTAAACACACACACACACACACACACACACAAGAGTTTGTGACATTTCAGTAGCTGATTTGAGTTTTTGAAATAATATTTAAGTGCATTTAATTTTAAAAAATGCAATTACTACAGCAATAATTTCCATATTGGAGTGTTATGTAGAAATATATCATTCAAATTTCATTCTTTGGAAATTCAGTTTGTTTTTATAATTACGTTATGTTTTATGTGCTAATCGCCGGCGCTAACTTCCACGTTTTTTTTCAAAACGAACACTTATTTTGCCAAACGCACAATTTTATGCAACTTTTTTAACTTTAACCCATTTGCATCTTCCTTGAAGACCTCGGAAAAACAGCTACCATTAAAAATATGAAGGAAACTTAAAAAAACATACATTAAAACAAATCACTGATTCACTCCATAATTTCTTCTTCATTTAAAAAACTTTGTGCAATGTTTAATTCACTAGCTCTTCATGAACTCCCAATCAGAAAGGTAACAGCGGAATAAGAAGGTAAAAATGCTTTCAAACGCTTTACACTACCCTCTTGTGGAATACATTTGGGACAAACAACGCTTCAAATTTCCATTCCCTAACTTCCCCTCCTCCCCCTCGCATTTCATAAAAAAGTAATTATTATTTCTCTTTTCTACACACGTAAAAGTGTTCAGGTCTGAAATGAAAGAAAATGTCATAGAAACAATTCAATAATAAAAACAAAAATTAATTAGTTCCTTTTTGGTATACGTTATTTAAACCACTTTAAAATCAAAAGCAAAAAAGGTTGTTTTGAACTTCTCGGAATACGGATGTCTAATTCCTTCCTCCTTCCGACTCTAACTTCTCCCCTTACTCACACACACTTGCACTACTCTACCACACATGGCGGGGACTCAGTCGACAGCTTAAAACTAGTCCCAGCTGGGGCGGCGACCCACTGTGGGAGATACCTGGAGAGAGAAATAACTGACAGTCGACGTTTAGGTCGGCGCGAGATATCACCAACCAGCGTGGAACACCATCACCACCCAAGATAAAACATTCACACCACCAACGGAACCAATGATCATAGTTGTCGTGACAAACATTAATAATTTATTGATGTTTATTATTGAACAATTCAGTATCATCTATCTCAAATGTGAAAACTTTACGGTGCGTGAAGAAGAGAAAAGAAAACACTTTTTATAAAATAGAGAGGAGGGGAAATAGGATAGATTTTGAAATCTTAGTATTTCATATTTCCAACCATATTTCACTTGGGCTTGGTTCAATACATTTATTTAAATATATTACCTCACCAAAGGATGTCTTTTCCATTACTTTGAAAAAATAGGATGGACAGGTAGACTAGCAAATGGCTTAAATGCCGTTCAATCTAGTTATGTAGAACAGTGTAAAAATTCAATCTCTAGAATAGTCCGACTAAAAATAAATAAATAAATTGAGGTGAGTTGGGACAATTAACAATAGAATTCCTTTTCAGAATTCCTTAATTGTCAAGTCAAAAGGTTGAAATAGTGCCCATAGGCAATCCGCAGTACCTACGTGTATTAAGACATTCGTGTTGCCTATTCTTAAGGCGTTAATTCTTTCTTTGTTCTGTTTTACTTCCATCAATGAAACAAACGTTTTTCACGTTATTTTTACTGTTCATCGTTCTAGTCATTATTTCATTCTGTTGAGACGACCCTTGAGCCGGTGACAGAAAATTGCATCGACAGAGAAAAGTGCTGTAGTTACATTGCTAACCACTAAATGGTGTTCGCTGAATGTTGCATGCCAGCTGCCACATAACGATGCAATGCAAAGGTTTACCTTATAATAGTTATTATTATCCGTAGAAAAAGTATTGTACAAAACTGTATGTAATGTATATTAACGAAGTTCCTATGGAGTTAACGGCCCTCGCTCCCGCTATACACGTGTATTAATATCCATCAGTGCTTTATCGTCTCATATCTCACCATTATGACTCTATAATAGTCAAGAACAATAACGTAATCAATCCCCGTCTCCATAGAATTGTAATCTTTCCGAAGCATTATCTGATTCGGCAGCTTTAACAAAAATGTCTCCGAACTCCCACTTTCGTGATTTAGAGTAAAGCTACGCTCGCCACACACATGCGCCAAAATGAATAAGAAAATAAACTATATTTTACAATTTAAAAGTTTGATTTGATTTTTGAACTAATATGTTAGCTGTTAATACACATGAATTACTAGAATCATTACCCTCAATATGCCTGATTTAATTGATTACTCATTTATTAATTACCTCAAGAATCCGAATGAAATCAATTAAGTTTTCAACAGGATTGCGGACTCGGTAGTATGCATGCCATGCAATGCTTTCGAATCAACAAGAGTTGTTCCCCGACAAATTAAAAAAACATAAATAAACACACCCATCAATCACAAGTCTAAGGAATCATGACTACCTCTTCAATTTAATTATAACATAATATATCCGCCAGAAAAGTCAAAAATGGGCATGCCATTAAAAATTGCATTTATATTGGTATCAATCAGATCATTGGGAAACAAGTGAAGGGGGCAACACTTGCAGCATCTATTATGAATGTGGTATGTATTCGTATTCTCCTTTTGCTTGTAATGGAAGGAGTAGAGGTAAGAGCGAGTTATTATTTTGTTAGCAATGCATAAAAATCAAATACACAGTTCGTTTGCCGTTGCAAATAAGTTTTCTATAGCTTAGGAACGAAAATGTCTAGTTTTTTAAATGTTGCTAATCTCGCGCTTTTTAAAATTTTATTTTGATTAATTTATTTCACTCTAACTTTTACTATCTTTCAACCATTTATAGTTAGAATGATGGTATGGGATTCTGAAACTCAAAAAAAACGTGCGCAGATCATCTTCTCCTCCATATAACATTCCCCATATCTTAACATACAATGTAGGCTTTCACAGCCGGTTTCTACATCATAATTAGTTGTTTCCGGGTTCAAAAATGGAAACCCGGAAACAACTAATTATGATTCCCCATATCTCCGCGCAAATCATCTTCTCCACCCATATGTAACATACAGTTTTTACTGTTTGTTGACTAAAGAATCTAATGTACGCAATTAACGTTTCCAAGCTGCAGCACGTGCATGTAGCATAATTTCTGTTGCGAGCAAGGTGCCACAGCGGAGAGACTTTCCCCGCGCGCTAAACATTATGGTAAAAACGCGGGCCGTGCCCCTAACCACGCGCTGGGCGTTCTGGCGAGTGGGTCCGACGCTGTGGTGCTGTGCAGGTGGTGCGGGTGGTGCGCGGCCAGGGCGACCAATGGGACAACCGCGCCCGCGCGCGCGGCGTCACCGCCTCCTTCTCGCTCAACGGCATCGGACTCGTGCCCGAGGAGACGGCCGACCTCTACCAGGAGAACGAGGAGCTCAAGGTACCTCGACATCCATTCTCACATCCAACCATTAGTAAAGTAGAATGTCTCACGTTAAATGAAGTCGTAGGCTTCCGCGGCCAGAGTCATGTGGGTGATCTGGGCTGGTCGGGTGACGCCGGTCGGAAGGCGAGTTGCCGACGTTCGACGCACCCTGTCGTGGTTCCTCCAGCCTGACCATACCAGCCTGAGGGATCCAAGAAGGATGGTCGAAACGTCGGAAGCTCAGCTTCGACGGTGGCGTCCACCTGGACAGCCAGATCACCTAGAATGTCTCACGGCATAGACTCTTATTTTGCTATTACGTTTTATGCGCAAACATTTGTGATATGTCTGTCTATTACTTTATGTTAATGTTTACGTCTATGCGTTATACTTATGTTTACTTTGCATTGTGAGCGCAAAAGCGTTCGCTTCAAACATAAATCTTGTACTAATAGTTCTAATGGCGTGTAATTTGTGGAAATGAATGGTAAGTGAGGAGAAGCCTACTGGTGGCGGCGATGGTGTTAAGGCTTATTCACAATGCAAACATAAACGTGAGCATGGCGTTAACATAAAAGTTAGGACTACGTCCATAAGAAGGACTCATTCACAATGTGTTCGCATAAGCATAACACGTAAGACGTTAACGTACAAGCTTGCAAGCTTCAAGCTTTTCTCCTTATGCTTAAGTAGGGCATTAGAAGTAAACCAATCACTGTACGTTAACGCAACATCGAGAATCAAAATAGCAAAGTCGATAGACTAACTAACGCCATATGGGCCATGGGCACAGTCGATACCTCGAAATCGATTCTCACATCCAACTAATAGTAAACTAAAATATCTCCCAGCCAATATAAACTCTTATTTTGCTTACATTTATGTCAAACATTTTGAATGCTTCAGTCTATCACTTATGTTAATATTCACGTCTATGCGTTTTAGTTATGTTAACGTTTGCATTGTGAATGGGCCTTTAGCGTATATCCAAGTTCGCGGGTTCAAACCCCATCAAAGCCGTGGATTTTTAAGGAAAAAAATCCTTCGTACGACTTCTTTCGGATAAGTAAAGCCGTCTGTCCCTTGTTAGTAGATTTAGTGCATGTAAAAGATCCCCAATACTAAATGAAGCCTCTGAGCTAAATTCAATTCGCCTGTTTCGTCGCCCTAGAAATACCTCCTTTCTCCGCTCGTTGGTGAACGGAGCATAGAGAAATTTGCGTGGTCGGACGGAAGTTCGGGACTGATGGCCAGAGTCTCGCCACGTAAAATAAGGCAACAATTAATTCAATTGGGGTAGGTATTAGGGAGCGACAAACACCAATCGCTTCGGTACAGCTATCGTTCCAACGATCCTCTGCGCATGCGCAGCTCGAGTTTCCCATCACTTGTGCATCTGCGCATGATTACATAACTTTATCTGCTTAAACAGTAAGGGCGAGAAAGTAAGAGTTAAAGTCTCTGAGATGTCTTTCCAATGGCTTCCGAGAAATCATGAGTTACTACGTTCAAGTAGCCACCTGTTTGAGTACTGTGATTGGTTGTACACGTACGCTTCCGCGGCTCGAGTTCATGACTACTAGGCTGTCCGGGTGACGCTGCGTCGTTGGCAGATAGGCCGACGTTTCGCCTGTCATTGAGTCACTACCCTGAAGAAGCCTGCGACATGACAGGCCATATGACATGACAGGCCCGACGGCCTATCTGCCAACGACGCGGCGTCACCCGGACAGCCTAGAAGTCATACTGTGATTGGTTGTTTGACCCAAATGTGAATACATGTTTTAATTAAAACATGTGTCCACATTTGAATTAAACACGTCTCCTAAAAACCACCCAGAGCTGTCACGCGATTGCGTGTCCGCAGGAGGAGATCCAGAAGCTGGCGGCGCAGATCGAGTTCATGAAGATGTGGGCACATGGAGGTGCACACCGCACCGCGCCCAGAAACCGGAGGTACTTCAACCGCGGTCGCGTGCGGCAGCCCGCCCCGCGGCTCACGCGGGCACGCCCGGGCAGTCGGCGCCCGGTCCCGCCGGCCCGCCGCCGCCGCCGCGCCCCGCCGCCGCCGGCACGGCGCCGCCGCCGAGGGTCGTGAGCGAGAGTGACTAGTGGCTAAAGTAGTGCATGGATGTGGTTGTGACGTGGGCTGCTCGGGCCGCCGCGTGTGACGCGCGAGCCGGCGGACACGAGGCAAGGGCCGCGGGGGGCGCCTGGACGTCGGGCCTCCGCAGTCGCCCGCGGCGGTTGGCAGGCTGCGCCCCGCGCGCGCCCCGGCTGCACGCGTCAGCCGCCGCGGCCGAGAACCCGGTTGTGGTTGCTTTGGAAAACGGAGTCGCTTCTCAGCTTTTGTCCATTTCATTGTTCACTTTTCGGTGGAACTGTCGTAGGGAAATGTCAACAAACGTCATGGGAATTCGAAAACATTTTAACGTCTGTTTAAGATCCGTTTGAAAATGTCCGAACTCAATTAAAGGTAGAGAAAGTATCGACAGGATAAGTTGGAGCTCCCTAATTTTTCAGACTTTTATTAACTTCAAACGGCTTAATCAGAAATTAAAATGTTTGTAATCGGTGAGCAACTGTTGAGTTTTCAAAACATCAATGTTCTGTTCAAACGTTGATCTATAGACAACGTGTTTTGACCTATCAAAATTAAGTAGATATGTAATGTTCGGTCGATTAAAACTGCGCGTCTTAAAATGTATTCGAGAACAAAAAATTAAAATGGACAAATTACCATGACCAATAAGGAAGCGTTGCGCAACAATGGAAAAAGAAACTAATTCAGAATGGAACTCGAGCTCGAAATTGGACAAGTACGAAAAAAAGGAGAGTCACCAGCTTACGTTGGCTTTGTATTCAATCAGTCGAAGTTCTTTTTCATCCTGTAACTCTGCGACTAATTTTTCACACTTCTTGTCTCCCGTTGTGCCATCGCTTTCGCGCTTTTCTGTTGTCACGCAGACGAAAATTGGTCAGTTGAGAAAGTCATGTCCGCGCATGACGGTGCCTCGTGTCTTTGGAAGGAGCTCGAGCGCGGGAGCGAATGTCTAAAGAACACTACGGGCAATTCTTTCCACCGATGGTCTTAGGTTGTGAGAGCACTGATAACGACCATGCGTGTAGTTGGCTCACTGACGGCTCTTCAACTAGATTAAAACATTTTTCATTTGCGCAAACCCTCAGAGGAAAACTGAAATCGAACATTATAATGCATTGTTCTTCTGTGGCGTGCTTTTAAAATGCAAAAGAAACCAACGATATTGATAATCCAAAAAACTATTATTTTGGAGTAATATCTCCATATTTTATCGTGCACATTATATTTTGAATTAACTCCGAGATTTAACTTGGCCAACTGGATAAAATCTTAAGAGAATACAAATTTAAAATACTCTAATGAAATGATCATTTCGCCTTCCAATTCGAACTTTGCGTTCGTTTTCCCAGGAGAACAGGGTATTAGCATGTTCGGTTAATATCATGTTGTAACAGTGCAGTCCAAATAACCATTAAGTTGGGATTGATGTTTCAAAGACCTTCGATAACTACGATATTTAATGAGCCCCTCAACTACGAGTATTTAATAAAAAAAATATTTGTCTTGTTGAGAAATCATTGATGTGTCCTTCCGACTTATAGAGACGCAAATGTCTTTCATTTTGACACACATTCTACATCTCTCGATAGTCAGATTTCAAAACCATGTAAGCCTCTTTTGAATAATTTTACATAAAACTTATAATTGCAAGATCCTCCTAACCTTCTTCAGCACTTTTAAAATACATTGCGCCCTCATTTGTGAACAGACTTACATTTTAACATTACAGGCAATTGGTTAAATGCTCTGAACCTATCTAAATATGATTTTTTTACGAGGTTTTAAAATCCGATTATCGAAAGCGACATAATCGCAACGATTTCGATTGCTCTGTGAAAGAGTCGAAGGAGCCCGACCGCGCATGGTTAACCGCCTGAGGCGCTTGCCCTCGCAATGTTCTCTAGTGTTCGCGCCCGCCCTCCGTCCCTTCCGAGCGCCCTCTCGTCGCGCCCGCCTGCGCACGGCGGTTGGTAGCCCTGGCCGCGACCACATCTCTTCACTATTGCAAGTAGATTCTGTTGGGCGCCCGCCCGCTCGCCCTCGGCCGCGCTGGAGAAGTGGACTGGTCACCGTCTTTGCGTTCTCTTCACAGCTCGCGTGCGGCGAGTGGGTGGGCGACAGTGTTCGTATTCAAGAGCCGACGCTCTCATTCCGCTGATCTTTGCGTTTCTCGTCTTCAAATAATCAAGTGGATTTCGTGTTGCTTGTTTGGTGATTTCACGTATGTTGCAACTGTTTTCATGGCAACCATCACGTCGTCTACGCGGAATCCTGAAGGTACTCACACTGCGAGCGATGTTGTGTCTCCCAGAAGGAATGTATTTCCTTCTACAATATAGTGTTTTCAAATGGTCGTCGAAATAGTTAATAAGTGTTATGTTTGTGAACATAATTTTGAAAATGTGTAAAATTTCCTTTACTATGCCCCCTTGTCGTGGCTCGTCGGGCGCCCTTTGACCCATGTGATTGGAGTGCTAGAAGAAACGAGAAGAAGAGAAAGAAGAAGATAAAGAAGAAGAAGAAGAGGAAACCAACTAAGTAAGTTGCTTCAACGTGTCAACGAGCACCACTGCACCCGAAAAGTCGGGCGCCCTTGATTAACCAACGTCCGTTGCTTGAGCGAGTGCCGAAAATAAATAAAATTTAAAAAGTATCGTTCTGTGTTGGTGGCAACGAACGGTATGTATATTTAAGTAAATATAAATGTGGAAATGGAAAAGCAATAATGAAAACAGAATGATTCTTGAAGTAATGTTGGATGAAATTATTCAGGTATGCTATTTTACAACGTTTTCCTTTTTTCATGAAATGCATATAATCATGTACGTTTCTTTGCTAACTTGTACGCTATTTGCTTTGGTTTTCGGACGTCACATTGCCCAAAGTAACTGATATCACTTTTTTTATGTCCTGCATTATCAAAAATAATTATGTACTAGGTTCTTGAAAAACGAGTGAGAATTCTTCTCTCGTTTGTTCTACGGATTTGCGCTCTCTTGCTCTTCTTCCTCTCCGTTAAAGTTAATGATACTTTTGCGTCATCTCATCGTTACCCCAGGGCATGGAGCCAAAACATACAGATGCTAACAAGACATTTCATCTCATCTTCAAGTTCTCTAAAGATAGCTGGATATTTGGAGGGAGAAACTTAGGATAACATAGTATTCGTCTTTTAAGACTTGACTCGTTGAGAAAACTGATAATGTTACCTCATAAAATAACTTATAGAAACCAGTAAACTTTGTAATTTCTGTGTAACATTTTGCCAAAATCGTTAGTGTTTGATAAGGTGAAGGAAAGCATTCAGTAATGTACATATAACGAATTAATGCAAAACATTTATATTACTTTAAGGGAGTAGTTGCAATGTAAACCATTCTACTATATTATTTCTCTTCACTTGCTCTAAATTTTCGAATTTTCTATAAAATAGAAATGACAGAATGATACAAAAACTGTGATGTTATTCAAATGGTAGGAAAAAGTTCCGAACATATTGTTTTTCAACATGAGTTACTCTATTAAGCAAATTACTGCCACAATTAATAATACCTGTCTTTTTGGAAACTGCCAATCACGTTTTCTTTTTATCCCCGTTACACACTTACTCCCATGAACTTTGCTATAACCGTGATCTAAAATTTCACTCGTGTATCACGATAGCTCACTCCATGTCTGCAGGTAGCATACGTATTCCCTGCACCAACTCCTGCGCCAATTGCATGCTATGTTATGCCACTGGCGATGACAAGTTCCGTTCATTATTCTCGACTCAGTAAGATACTTCCGCAGGTCGGCGTTACTCGCGATGCTGAAAGATAGTAAAAAATTACAGGTTCCACAAATTACGAATATAAAACTTCTAATTTTGTGTCGAAATAGCGATTGTCATCTTTTCACAAAGTTTCTTTATTACTATTAATGTCACATTCATGTCAAATGCCAAGGTACAATTCTTTCGCTAGTGTTCGTGAAAATATTGTACGCAGATGAAATGACGAATCACATAAACTTCTGCTACATTTATTTGGCAAGCGACTCCAGCATTGATACAAATCATGCTCAGCTGCAACTCATTTTTTGCTCGATGTTTCGCTAAATCGTGATTTTTAAAGGTATTAGGCTCCAAACAATCGGTTTCCTAAACCCATAAGTGAGAGCTTGTGAACAAAGACAATACTAATTTGGAAAGAAAAACTGATGCGAGGACAGCACTTGCAAAACCCTCTAGCTGCTGGCAGAGGGCCAGGCGCCCACCGATACAGAACGGCTTCGAATCTTTCCTCCTTCCTAAACCCGAAAACTTGGCTTGCCGTTACACAATGGCGAAACGTGATGTACATTTCTGGGAATACTTAAAGCAGGAGCGCAGCAAATTCTGACAAAATTAGGATTTGGACCTTAACGTAACGAATCGACTCCAACATCGCGAGATTGGTGAACCAAAGCGAAGAACCACTGGCTGAAACGAGGCCTTTGTGTTTCGTAGCTCAAATGAGATTGACCCACTTCAATTGATAAAAACAAATTGGCGTAAAACGCTGCGAAAATTACGCGATCAATAGGCTCGAGACTGCTTTATGTTAATCGCGTAGGCAGGCCAAACCCTCGTTGGGAACTTTGATTCATTTAGAAAACAAAGCCTCAAGGGTAACTTAGAAGTGAACGGCAAAAGGATACTTTAGAATAAAAAGCGTTGAAAATAATGCGTTGGACAGAATCAAGCATATTTAATGTTATTCGCATTGGCCGAAGGCTAGAGCTCCATCATGAAACTGGACACGCGTAACGAAGCGTCAATTCGCCTTAAAGTTAGATATAAATACGACGCCAGTCCGCTGGCAGTGCGTGTTGTCATTCGTCATGTTCTCGCGAAAGCGAGCCGATTTCTTCACGTTCGTTACGATAAGGGAGAACTTTTTTTATGAAGTTACAAAAAACTAGCACGTTTCTACATCATCAATATTCTAGTAATTACAAACGAACAACTACACTCGCGGACCTCACT